ACGACTTGCTGAAAATTTGCAGCCCCAACATTTGAGAATTGATTAGATTCGACAGATTTTTTGGGAAGGCCAAAGGTGTAAAATTATTGCTTCAAAGCAGTTACTAAGTTTTTTTAAAAAAATAATTTTCCTAAACGGGATTGCCTTTGGAATTCTTGCGAATGCATAATTAATTGACAGCAGGTATTGGTTTCCTGACAATATATTATGATTTTGTTAATTGTGGCTTCAAATGACGAAGAAGGTTTTGTATTATCTTTAGATATCTTCCGATTGGATTGTCCTACCATTTGACAGTTTTGACAAGACCTACAGTATTTAGAAACATCACGTTTATTTGTTATGTTAAAAAACTGATTCAAGATTTTGTGATAAGTCCAACTGATTCCTAAATGAATATCAACAGAGTTTCATAGGCTAGGCTAAGAATTTCCTGTCTATACTAATTTGGAACAGTGATTTGATAGAGAGGTCTATAATATTTGGAGACATCACTTTTAATTGGCGGATAAGTACATTATATAAGATCTTGTGGTTAACACTACTGGCTCATAATTCTCCAGGTGAATGAATTTCATTGGCTATACTAAGTATTTATTGTCAATACCACTTAAGAAGAACAATTGCAATGTTCAGTGACCTCCCATCTACAGCAGTCACCTAAGGTGATCTCCGTTTTCTCATTATTACCCCATCTTTACAGCCGATAGTAATCTGGTTAAACGGCAGAATCAACGTCACTAACAGCCTTGAGAAGCAAACAGGAGAATTCATGATGATCTATTTTCCTGTTCGAAATCAAGTGATTAGAAATAAGAGAATGAGTGTTTAGAAGAGGATCACATTGATCAATTCATTTTGATCAATCGGTAACGGGAGCAAAAGCGGCCTCGTCAAATCCTGACCAATACATAATTCAGCCAAAGGAAATATTTCCTGGTCAACTTCATACACAAGAGCTCTTTTTTTCCAGAGCTCTAGTAACTTACATTAGCAGGGTATACATCAGGGATTTTATTTTCAATAGGATCAACTTTTAATCCAAAATTGTAGTGTCAGTTACAAGTGGATTAACCAAAATCTTATCTCTAGGTAAGTCATTGCAAAGAAATAAATGAATACCCAGAATGAAGCTAAGTCTGATGTTAGATTAACATTCTGGAGTAGAAATTTGAATAAAGTAGCATTCTACTCCCTGAACAAGAACCTTTTCAGAAGAAGATGACATAATTAGACAAAGTACCCGATAAGAAAAAAACTACCGAGATGCTCATATATCCTTTAATGGTTTAATAAGGATAGGATTAACTGAATTGTTAATAAGTTATATATATATATAACCTTTTGTAAAGAATTGTTCAAAAGTCACCATAATAAAATCAAACTTGGTTTGTTTGACTTAACAAATGTATTCTTTCTCTTGATATCTGACACAGAAGAAAATTTAGAGCAACTGTCATTATTTTGTTACTTATTTTTTATCAACTTTAAGCAATTTGAAATAACGTGCACTTGTATTATCTTTCACTTTCATCTTTCTGTAACTTTATTTCTCTTTCTTTTCTGATTTTTGAATCTTAATTTCATTTAAGAGCTAAATAAAGACTTACTAATTAATTCTAAAGCATTTCCATTAAAGATTTCATTTTTCACAATATTATTTATTGCATGCTTTTATGTGTCCCCGTTAAAATAGTGCAGTATTTTACAATACTTAACACCTTGATATTGATAGCATGTGTACGACACGTGTGCCTTAAAATAGCATAATGCATTAGGAACTACTTTGGAAACAAACTGTGTACCCTCATGTAGTAGATGTTTAGGTTTTTGTAGATTAAATTTGTTTGTGAATGAACGAAACAAGCTGCTTCGTCCATTTGAAAGCAGAGATGACAAAGTTAACTATGTGTATGAGTTCACTGAGCTAGAAACGAAACTTTCAAACAAATATGCGAATGAACGTGATATTCGCAATTTCAACAACAAACGTGAGAGACACAGTAATTGAAAATACTATTCTGATCATTTAAACAGCTAATTATGAGAAATATTCGTATCTTTTCGCAAATAGACTGGTTCAGACTATGACCAGTGTTCTCTAGGATCTAAAGAAATAAAAGCATAGAAAGCATATTCAGGGCAAGGCTATATGTCAGAGATTACTATTTTATATGTCTGTAAAAATGAGAGAAAAAAAATCAAACAATGGTTTAAGTGTGTCAGACCAATAAGCCAAAACGACGAAAAAGTATTATTTCCGCTGGCTAAATAGACTGGCACACAATAGCTGCTTTTCAATGTTCCTCGTGTAACTATTTTAATACAATGTTAGGCTAGTGATAGGAGACTCACACTGTATAATACAGTTCATAGCTGAGGTCCCTCCAACAGCGAGATACAACTGATAGGGCAGAAACATGTTTTCTTAGCTGCTATTAAGAATGGTAATAAATATATGTACATTTAGGCATCTTGAATTTCTTCAAAATATACTTTACTTGATGACAAGTCCTGTAAAATCTGATGTACATCGAGACCGTACCAGAATTTCAAGTACATTTCCAGCTGAAATCCATTCTCCTTACTGCACTGAAAATTGACCCAATAATCCAGTCCATTATAATCAGAGAAATAGAATTGAGTTGGATCAACATAAATACAAAATCTATTCTTTCCAGACAAAATAGAAAAATTGTTGCAAAACGCATTTATTTACAAGATGACTCTAATTTTCAGTTTTAAGTAGACCAAACAATTACTTTTGAAACTACTGTCGACCGCGCGACGAAGTTCAAAGGTAGCTGGGCGTTTCTATGTGCTTATTAATTTTGTTTTTGTGTATTGATGAATCTACGGTTGCGTATTTATTTTTTTTATACAGCATAAATTCAATTACTTTGTTTCTTGTAGTGTATAATTAAGCCTTAGGTAGAATAAGAAAATTAGTATAAATTTAAAAGAATGCTGCTTTTATGGGAAAATATGAGTTCGTTTTCTCCCAAAGTCGTACAATTTTAATCCGAAAACTCATTTACATTTTCCAAAAATATGCTGCAACCAATAGATATTTATAGTTTAGAATACACATTTAAAGTGCCGCAGTCTGAAATTCCTACATGACACCATCGACCCGAATCCGTTGCCGCACTCCAAATTTAATAAATTCGTGATCACCTGGGAAACAAAAGTCACATAAAGTACCCAATCGCCACGCTGACACCTGACAGCTCAAACAAGGCACAACACCGCACGTATCGCTAATTCACGTTGTCTTTACGACAATATTGCACTACCATTCATTTTATGATTAATCTTTTTATATTTTTCATACTATAGTTTCATTTCTACAGTTTGCTCAAGGGTTGTGGTGGAGCAACCATTTAATCCGATTATTTATTAAACACATATCTCCAAGCATTTTTGAAACTTTTCCAATACCTTTTGTCCTTAGTAAAGACTTCTCTCCCTCAAAGAAGAAATTTTCCATATAAAATGTTTTTGTGGATCAGTCATTTTTCTCTTCTCTATATACCATTGAAAATCAATTTATAGTGTAACATCATCTGCCAACAATTTTAACAGTCATGGACTAGAAGTTCCTTTTATATTGTCTCTACTTTTCCACTCAAAAAGAAAATTAAAACAGACTAAAGATTTGTAAAATTTTCATTGGTTTACCAGAAAGCACCATGAAATAATTAACAAATGTGGGTAGCTTAATATTTACTTAATGTAAGTTTCAAATAATAAAAAAATTTCGAAAAGACTAAGCAGTATTGTTTTTAATTGATTTTCAACTTATTGAGTATGTTTTACTGCAGTAATAATATAGGTTTGCTACAATCAAATTGAATTCACCCGAATTACTGCAATTATTATTTTTGCCGTTCATAATTCTTCATCGCTAATTCATTTTGCATTAAGTCAATTGGCGTGAGTTTTGTGAAATCCACAGCAACAGAAAAACTCTATCTAGAATATTTAATGCAGTGTTCAGCTAATAAAATTTATCCGCATATTGAATAATAGTGTTTTAGAATTGTAAATATTTACGCCTTATGGCCCATCTTCAGAAGTCTGCTACGAATTGGCTTATAGAGTATGGCCAATCTTCAGATGTCTCTGATGAATTGGTTTATACGGTATGGCCCATCTTCAGTCTTTAAGTCTGAATCTCTACATGGATACTCTAAATTTAACAATTAATTTCTATACGGACATCTTTTTTTCCAATATTTAAATAAAATAATGCCCCCTACTGCTCTTAATATCATCCAATCAGTTTTTGGATAAAAGTTTCCGATAATCGTAACTGAAAAATCTGTTTACAACATACGTCATTGTTACGAACCCTTTGATTTTTAAACTTTATATAATCCTTATCTGGTCAATAAATCTTAAATTGATTGTCAATTAACTTTATTACGGATCTTCTACACTTTTCAACATCAGTTGTTATGCTTGAAATGTTGTTCTTCTATTGGAAACATTTTCGGCGTAAACATTAAAACTATGTACAAGTTATTGAGATGGTTCATCTGAGATTATGCCACTCAACAGAAAATTATTATGAGATAATGCTATTTAATATTAAGTTGGCACTAAACAATCGTCATACCTGATTATTTTCAGCAAATAATTGGGTACGCGACTCCTTTGGAAATATATGTCATGGCATTCCAATTGATGCTATCAACCAATGTCCAGTTAGGATACCTCTCACCCGGAAATGAGAACGAAATATTAGGTTAAATTTTAAACTTATGCTTTTGTGTGTGTGTATTTTTAACTAGCTTTTTTAGTCATATAGCTCCGATGTTAGTATTGTGGCAGCTTATATTGATATATATCACTGGAGAATCATGTCGGATACATGTAGCATGAGGTCCCACCCAATCACATTATCTTCACACTTGGCCTACAAGTCCTAACACTATCCTCTTAATTCATAGCTCTAGCGAGATAGCCCTTAGTACCATTTTTATAAGTCTTTGGTATGACTCGGCCGGGTATCGAACCCACTTACTCCCGCATCCAAGGCGGACACTTTAACCACAAGGCCACCAGAGCAGTCAAATTGGGAGTGATTAAATCTAGAAAGGCAGCAGCAGGGAGGATGAACCTTACAACGTTTTGCTCGATCCCGTAAGCAAAAAAAAAGGTTTCCTACAAAGGCTAAAAAACCAAGGTCAATAACGTTGATTTATTGTTAAAATCCGAATTGAACAGCTTGCGCTTTTGAAAAGAAGTTTTTAAATTTAATCATGTCCATTTTTTCCTGAACACCAAGTATAATAAATATTCTGTGAAATATAATTATCTACTACATTAAACACAACCAAAATATTACAGTTATCTCTGATCACCTTAGGTATTTGTGTATATCGTTGTGTAATATAAATCACTTCCGTGTTTCTATGTCTACCTCGAGAAAATATTCTAGCTGGATTGGATTGTTTCTCCAGCATCACATCATCGTATACTACAATGTTATTATTTAATCCATCGAAGTCATCTACGGATGGGGCTTCATCAATATCGGTAATAAAATCAACAATATCGTTGCCATCCTGATTCAATCATGTTGCATTCTCGTTAAAATCTTTAAGTACTTCGTAGCATCTTTGATCATCTACAGATGGTGCCACTAAATATAATTTATCCCACTTCATCGACCGCATTATCAGATTAAGCAATAATTACGTTTTACAAGATCCAGAGGGACCTTTTATAATCATCCTAGTGGAATTCGGAAGTGCTGGATGGTGTTTTACTGGTTCCTGTTTTCGTGTCGCTGAAAGGTCAGTTAAATCCATATATTTAAAAATATGAGTTTATATTTTGTTCGATGCATAGTATCCCTCCGTTGGATTGACAGCAATAACAACAAAAATAAAAGACGTACAATTAGAGGTAAATGTGCAAACTGTGGCACAAAAATTTAAATTTATATCCGCGTCGCAAATAACGTGGTGATATATCCGCATCATTGGGGAAATTGCCAGGAGCTCCGTGGGCCAGATACCCCGGTGACAAACACCTTCATGGATATAATTATTGTGGTCCTGGAACTCGACTTGATATCCGACTTGATGATCAAGATCAACCAAGACCAGGTGAGTATCCAGTAAATAAGAATGATTAAGCATGTCATGTTCATGATGTTGCGTATAAAAATCCTGATTTGCAGCAGCAGCATCTCGCAGATGTGATATTGATTCATGCGTTAAATGCTATACCTAATAAATCTCTCAGAGAAAAACTCGCTAGTTTTTTAGTAAAATCTGCTATGAAAGGTAAAATAATGCTAGGGGCTGGTAATTAATTATATAACTATTATAATGGAATCCATTTATTATTCCCCGAGTGAATATTGGAGAGGTAAAGCAGCAATTAGTAAGCTTGCTGAAGCAGCAAACGTTTCACGTAATGTTTATGCATCATGCTTAGCACGACAGGCAATATGGCAAATCTATCTACCACAACCTAAACAAATTCAATATGCACATTTTGATGTCAATGAAGTTCATGAAGCAAATTTTTTGTTTTTACCACACGATACTGTTAAAACACGTGGACAAAAATCACGCACGTACCAATACGCAATGACTGTTGTTGATGTTGCAAGAAGATATAAAGAAGCTGAATCATTATCAACATAGACAGCATCTGAAGTTGCATCTGCGTTTTGAGCGAATTTATCAGCGTGGTGGTCTATGATGGCCACAGTTATTAAAAGTTGATCCAGGCAAAGAATTTCTTGGTGCAGTACTATCTTTGATGAAAAAAACATAACCTCAAAATCATACGTAGACATACCGAAAGTCATCGTGATCAAGCAATTGTTGAACGATTTCATCGAACACTTGCTGAATGATTATATGGATATCAATACGAAAAAGGAAATATCTACTGACTTTAAGTCCGGTGAGCGATTTCGTGAATGGGTTGTAAGGTTACCAAGTGTGATATCTGCATTAAATAATGAAATTACCTTTGCAACTTCCATGAAACCTTCTAATACAATAACAAAAATAATGTATACCTCGTAGCGATGACGTACAACGCCGTGAACAAATAGTATTAGGCAATGTAACTGTGATATATTTATAAGAACTAGAGCTTGAGGGTGGAACAAAAAGAGCTATTGATCCTATCTGGAGCGTCACCACACATACAAAAAAATTTCTAGCGTGGTTAGATCCACTGGAATACCTGCCATATACAGACTAGATTCTACAGCCCCACAACGTGGATTTGTACGTGAATAATTGCAAGTAATTTCTATGGATACACAATTACCACCGCGTTCACGTAAACTAGCAGCTCTGCGTCAATTACATTCAAGACAGGTCAGCATCACATTTTCACGTGTACGACCAAGATCACAATTAATTCTATCTAAGGTAAATTGTTTTGGATTATTATTCGAATATTACCATAACATTATTGTGTTACAGCTTGCACAATGATTATTCTTTCGTTGCTTTAGCGTTATAATAAATTCAGTATCAATATCAAAGTCACGCTTTTTGTGTCACATTGTTTATATACCCGATAATTTTTCCTTTATTACAGCAGTATCATTATTAATTTCCTCATTTATCCAGTAATCTATAATAACCCTATGTAGTTGAGTTATTCTTATGACACGAGATAATTCAAGATAAAATAAATTTGACCATTCGATACGATCATCTACAATCCAGATATTTGTATCAGAGATAGTTGATCCCTGTGACGAATGAATCGTTATAGCGTATCCTAACATCCACGGTGATTTTGCCATGTTCAGTGCGCTCTCAACAACATCAATTGCAACCAAAACAATGTCATTCAGAGTACAAAATTTTGTAATCGGTACTTTCAGTGTCTCCACCTGGAACTTCATCTTCAATATTATGTCGTCCAGTATCTGCTGGGCGATAACATATAGGTGAAGGTAACGTTGGAAACGTTTCTTTATGTCACGTAAATAATTTCCTTTGCAGTTCATCACGAAATATCTTTCTACTTGCGACTATCAAATCAGCAGGCTTCCATAAAATCCAAAAATCATTTATGGTAGTTTCTGGAACTACATAACGCATTATCTCATATTGCATTGTATCTAGTTGTAGTCTGATTAATATTTTAAGTTCTTTCAGCGGCTCATCAATAGCTATATGGTTATCATGTATTTCATCGTAATAATCTATATTATTCTTTAGCGAAACGCGTGGAGACTGTCCAACAAATGGTAGTGGTTAGCCATGATCGCCACACATAATCACAGGAGTATTCTTCAATAACAGCCAGTCAAGAAATATTTTAGTGTTTCTAGCGACACCGTGTATATTACATTTCTAGTTCCATATAATATACTTAGGTATATATTTTTTATCCATTCAATCAGGAGTCCACGTGTCTCCGCACCATCTAAAGAAACTATTATATGTGCATGATTCTACTCCTCGTTCTTTTATTTCTCTTTGCAAGTTTATGCATAGGTGTCAAAACAATTATATCTGAAATATTATTCATAAAAAAGTTAATCGCACGAGTTGTTTTACCTGAACCACGACACCCATTAAGATACACAGTCTTATGTCTAGCCACAGGATCGAAAACAGATGGTGAAGAAGACTTTGATATTTGATTATTATATCTGTAATATATTTCCTTAATTTCAACGTCGGAAGAGTCAGATAGACAAAGTATATTTTCTTGTTACATCCTCCATGTCCCCATTCACCATTACCGATAAGCAGTTTTAATAAATCCTATAATTTTATGTATATAAAATGAATCCGTAGGGACTCTAACAGCGTGACGAGGAAATCTATTATCATCGATAGTAGATTTATATAAGAAATATAAGCTAACATCGAAGATCTTAAATGAATAAATTGTGGTGAGTCACCATCAAGATTAGTCATAATGGTACCTAGTTTTGTTCCATATGAAAAATAAGCATTACATCGGCTTATAAATGTGTTGTTTTTTTTTTTTCGTTTTATCAGTGGTTATAAAATCTAGATCAACGTCGTTCATAATCAGTCTTGTACACTGTCGTATAATCGTATGGAGCGCCTTGCGTAAACTTACCGATTATCTTTCTACTAAGATCTTTTATAAGTTTTCCATCGTGCTCGTTCCTGTATTTACTTAATTTAATGACGTGATCTTCATCAACATCAGGGAATTCTTTCCTGTCATCATCGACGCTAAATCTATCTGGTTCTGGTAACCAAACTTGCTTCTTTGAACAATACGATATAATTGCTTCAGTTACTCTCAATCATATTAAAAATCCAGCATCAAGCATATACCCCAATAGTAATATTAGAACCCAACCGTTTTCTGAAAACTGTCTTCCAAAGCAAACATAAGTAATCGCATGGAGATCATCTCTAAACTCGAATGATTCTACATATGTCAATGTTAGGTCAAAATCTGGTAAGGTTCCGTTTATTGCAACCCTGGTTATCTCATGTGTAGAATCTCCGAGTTTCTTAAAGTATTTAGAACTTTCTCCATATCCAAGAAAACACTCAGGACAACATGCAGCCATATAAACTGATATAACGTCACTATAATCGTATATGATATTCGATAATCGACCGCGTCCATATTGTACACAACTTTTTTGATATATTCAAGAAATTCTGATCATGTCGATTTCCATGAATTTTTCTCTTGAGCGAAATGGGGAGCAACCGATGGTACGGTAAAACAGTTATTCAGTAATTGTCTTACTATGACATCATCTGATGTATATTTCAGAGCAAGATATTTCATTTCTTCATGATTAGATTATGTACGATAAATATCACCTTTGTTCGTACAATTTGATCGTAATAATATTCTGAACTTTGAAATAACCGAACAGACACAGGGTCACTTTTACTATATTTCTGATAAAATCAAATATGTGACCTTCATAAAACTTAACTTTTCTGTCACGCGGAAATACCATTACAGCATTAGTCAATGCATGTGCATTATGATCAATGATTGTTATAGGGTTTCCATTTTCTAAAATATATTTTGGTTTGTATAATATCTCTCTGTTTAGTGTTTTCACTGTTATGG